TGTTATTTGGTTCACAAGCATGGTCATCATTGTCGTTCGTCCCCCCTGGGTGAGGTGCGAATTCCACGCAGAACTGCCGCTCGTGCTCATTTTGCTAGTCATAAACAAAGGTGCTGGACAGTTCTTTCTGAGCTCTGATACGAGGTAGCGTCCAATCTCAATACTTTTTTTCCTGAGTTGGAAGCAACGAACGGCAGTAAAAGTCGTTGAAAATGCATGGCAATACATCAAAATGTATGCAGCAGGAGTTTGAGCCAAAACTGCCAAGGGATATTTTAAAACTGTCGACGAACAAGTCATTCTACTTCAGAGCAAGGTTTGGAGTAATTTATAGTTCTTCTAAAACTAAAAAGTACCTTTCAAAGAATAGCACGATAGGCAATCGGCTTTTGTTTTAAGAATTAGCAAGAGTTGAATTTACTTGTCCCGAAAATTCAAACTGGTGGCTCCTCCTACCTGATAGTAATTTATTTTTGAAATTCCAAAACAATTTCACAGCTGAATTTTGACCGACTTTTAGTTACGGACTTCTGCTCCAACGATTTTTCTGAAATTCCTCTGGCATACTTATTATATCAATTAAAGCCGATACCAGAAATTTCAGTAAAAAATATCAGCAAAATTTTTTACTAGACGCGATTTTCTTTGAACAGTAGGGTCCTTTTAAGCACTAATTTCTCAAGAAATATTTACCGTCAGTGAAATCGAAATATTTTGTGTTATTGCCGAATGATATCTGTTGTTCTTTGCCAAGTTTCGCAGCCATCGCGCTCAAAACCAAAAATTTATGACGGAAAATTTGTCACAGTTAAATGCTCTTGTATTAATTACGGAGCCACCTTAATGAGTGTTTGGAAATCGGATGAAATACTGCTCAGTATTTGCATCCTTAATTTCTCCTTCAAAAATGATTTTGTTTGAGAAGAAATATCAAACATTCGACACAGTGTTTCATCACCAGATGAAACACCTCGAAGTTCGTCAAAAATACTCCGCTGCGCGTCGTATTTTCAACTCTCTTCTCGGTGTTTCATCTGGTGATGAAACACTGCGTCTGATGTTTGATATATTACATGAAACACTGTGTCAAATGCTTGATATCACTTCTCGAACAAAATGATTTAAAAATGAGCATTTTTTCATCTGATTTCCAACCGCTCATTAAACATTAATTTCCTTTGTATTTTCTTAAATAATAGTTAATGAGTTTGAGAAAGAAAAGTTACCCCTTGCGAATAATTTTTATTGAGAAACGGTACCCCTTTCACATACCTAAAATGACAGATTTTCCTACTCTTTCATATAATTCAACTGGTGAAATCCCTCGTCTTTCATACACCTTAACCCCTTCACTACCAGAGTGTTTGATGGAGGTTTGTAAGGCGAGTCTAACTTTTGAGTCTGCAGACGAAATCCTATGATGTGACCATTCAAATAAAAGCTCTCTGCCTGTACTTTCACATGATGCTATTTGTTTGTCAACATTTTAGAAAATGAAATTTGGATATTTGGTCAAAATTGGCCTTTGGCCATATTTGGCAGTGAAAGGGTTAAACCTGAAAAAGCTACCCCTTTCGGGTGGATTCTTTCCGTCAGTATAGGCCTTTATAGGAAGTAACCCCCGGCGTAAATATATCTGCATCGATCTGCTAATGCGACTTGTGGCTTGCATTACTTACGGGGTCAAATGAACTTCCAACTATGTTAAACGAATAGAATTGCTTAGCGGTTCAAAGACACTTCTGCTCCATTTCATTTCAAGGTAAGATTCGCAATTTGCAGTGCATTGCTCTGTTTACAGAATACAGAACTTGTCCGGGTTTGCAGTAAAATATTTAGGACCAAAATCCTCATTTTTTTGCGCTTTCGAACAGCAGATTTCAGATTGTGTGATATATCAGTGGTGTACAGAAGGATGGTATCCATGGAAACCAGAAACTGAAGATGACAGGATCCTGCTACACAGGGCGGTGGCGATGGATTGTTTTTTTGGGGGGACTGTGCAACAATGGTCAAAGGGGGGGGTGTAAAACCAGAGCGGGGACACCATGTAAATTATAGCCTTAAGGGGGGCGCTAGGATCGTATCTCAAGAAGCGTGTGTCCCTTTATAAGAAAAAAGCAACTAACGGGGGAGGTGTCCCCCCGTCTATAGGAACTGCCATAAAGTTTTGAGACCTTTTTAGCCCAAGTCAGATCGGTTTGATCTTCAGGACCATGAACCTCAGCACAAGTGATGATTGTGCGACAAGTACAATTTAATACGAGGACGCCTTCTCCACAAAATGGAGATTATTAGCCTGCGAGCAGGAACACTTCCCCCTGATCTGTCTTTTTGTCAAGACGTTAGCTTTAGTGATCAGGCCCCGGTATTTCAAGCTTTGGATAACGCTATCCACCGGATAAATCTCTGGATGGCAGCGGCTAAGTATTTGGGAAACTAATTGCGTTATCCAGTGGATACAGATTTATCCGGCAGGTAGCGTTATTCGGTGAGAAGCATTAAACGGATTTTCCTGTCCAATAACTACATTTTGTCTAGTCACATAAAGTAGGTCAATGAAGTCAATGAAGTCGATAACTCAGTTTAAAACATCTCAAGGTAAGGGAGAACTTATTTATAACAAAAATTGGCCGTTAATAAGCCTTCATAGCACTGAAAAGGCTTTTCCCCCACCCCCCTCCCCCCACCAACACACACGGACACACACATAGATACACAGAAAGAAAAGAAAACTCTATGATGAGGTCTGAGGCCTACATTTGTTTCAAAGGAACTTAATTTCATGACAAGAAATAAATGTCCAGTTCTACAGTTTTTCATAATTATATTATTTTACTCTAAGTTATTCCACTGTCACTTGGTCAAGGTAATCCAGTATAAGTTGACTCCTGAAAAAAAGAACGGTAATCAAAGATTATTGCCAAGAATTGTGGGTAACACTACAGCCTCATTGATTTGCTCAAATGCAATTATTATTATTATTATTATCATTATCGTTATCATAACTTGATTGTCGAAATCAAACGGTTGTTGCTTATTTGACGTCACTTCAAGATATTTACTTACAAGTTACATAGATAATATAGCATGTACTGATTTAAGGGAAACAAAGGTCAATTTTGACTAGATTTAGAAATTAAATCTTCAAAAAACGAATCAAAAGAGCCCTTCGTCTGATATATTTTGCTTATAGACGCGATCATGCAATTCCTTTCTTTGTTGATGAGCATATTCTGCCTCTGTCGTTTCTATACGAGTATGTTTCCAACCTGTAATGCATGATATCAACAATAATAACGCTCCTCTAAATATCTTGAAATTATTTCAAAAAACCTCCAGCATACATTCATACAAAACGCGATCATCCATCTCCGAGAATTTTTACGTACAAAGCACTAGGTTAGAAATACATATACGCATTCTTTTTCAAGATTTGGCGTAAAACTGTGGAATGAGATTTCGTGAGCTTGCGAAATCTACCCGAGAGGGAATTTAAAAGAGAAATTCGCCGACTTCTTTTAGATATTTCAGTAAAAGAAAATGACTAAATTAAGAAACACCTATTATCATACAAAAAGTTGGTCTGGCTAAATAATTACGATTTTTCTCAAAAGTTTAAATTGATTTTTCTCTTCAGCCTCAAACGTTATCGTTTCCTTGACTTTGTCTTTATGTAATGATACTAATTTAAATTTATTTATGCAATAATATTTATTTCAAAATTTAAACCCTAACCCTCAGGCCCCAGTTGTTCGGAAGGTGGATAGCGCTATTCAGTGGTTAAATCACTATCCAGTGGATAGCGCAATTGGTTTCCTTAATACTTATCCGTTGGATAGCGATTTATCCAGTGGATAGCGCTATCCAGCTTTTGAACAACTGGGGCCAGTTGTTTAGCCTTCGAAAACATCCGTTTCTCCTCGCTCTTCGCCGATGGGGACGTTTCGCGCGGAGGAACGTCTGCGACTCAGCGGCAGAAATTCCATACTGATGACGCAATCCAGTGTTTACATAATAAGTGGTTCCAAATACAAATTTGTCCAATTTTACGTGTCTTCTGGTCGATTTTGGTAAAGTGTTGTGTTCATCGCCCAACAAGCTACAGCAAAACTCAAATGCTTCTTCTTGAGAAGACTATATTCCACAAATATTGACTGTTTTGTTATAGAGATTCTTCGCGTTTACATTTGACCTTTGTGGCCTTTTGTCTCTTGTCTGTCATTCGTAAACAATAGCTAGAACAATGTAGTTACTCCGTCGACCAATCAGCGCTTCTGACCGGATTCCGGACAGATTTTACGTCATCAGTATGGAATTTCTGTCGCTGAGTCGCAGACGTTCCTCCTCGCGAAACGTCCCCATCGGCGAAGAGCGAGGAGAAATGGATGTTTTCGCAGGCTATCAATTGTTCTTCTGTCCCGCCTAGATTAGCTTTTGCTACCTGCGGGACAGTGAAATTAATTAAGTTAATTCTTTCAACAAAGTTATGTTGTTGTTGTTACATATTGCCATAGGGTTTAGAGAGCCAAGAGTTAACCGCAGAATTATTGTTTTTCTCTCTTGTCAAAGTACGGGAGAACCCAGGAAACTCAAACTCTGAAGTGAAACGTAAAACAGTGAAATTTTGATCAAGAGAAAGCAAATTTGGTTCTAGTTAGCAACGCATTCGAGTTTATCCGAGTTCGAGTTATCGAGGTTCTACTGTATAAATATAAGTCATTGATATATTGAGAGCTCTGGTTTTAGTACGAAATAGACATTGAGAGTGTAACGTTATCATTGAATGGGCTTTGAGAGAGAAAAACGCATTTAGTGGAATTGAAAGTCCTCGCTTGATCGTAGACTAGTGCCGGGAAATATTCCCGAACAGCCACAAAGCATGTAAGGAGACATCTGAAAAATTTCAAACTACGCTCCTGTGAAAAGGGTGTATGGGATCGTTTTATTGACAATACTAACCGTCAGTGTTTATTATTGGTTCATCCTCTTGAGTTAGCCTAACAATTACCACAGGTTGCCTTGCATGCAAACTGAGTGAATTCGACGAAATTTGCCTGCGAAACGAAGATATTGCTGTCCAGACTACAGTAAACTTTCTTATCAGCATCGTCCTGGATGAATGTTTTACAAAATGTAGTGCCCTTCTCGTCGACACATCCCTCTAAGGCGAAAAAAAAAAATTAGAAAAGCTTAAATGAATAAGGGGCACCCAATGGATCTGTTCCTCAGAATATCTGTTCTTCAGGCAAATTTTTACTGGCTTAAATACTTTCATACTAAAAGAAACAAAAATTGTAGCCGGACAACAGGAACCAATTTGAACTAACGAATAATTCGAAATGCAAACATTATTTATGCTACTTTCCCTAAACGTAGAGAGTTCAGCGAAGAAATCTGACGGTGTTGAAAATTGTCAAAACTGAGGAGTAAGGAGAATGCAAATGTGGCATTTGCCAGCCAGATTTACGCGTCAATTTTTACTTTTTTTGCAAGGAGTAAATTAATGCAAATCCATTTTTTCCTCCAGTCCAGTGCTTTAAGGGTTCCTCACAGTTTCCATACCGAAAAAAAAAACTTCTCCTCCCTGTGTGTAAAGAATGTCCGGAGTGTACCGAGAGTTTGGAGCCAAAATACAAGTAATGGAAATTAAGATTAGAAAATTAACGCTGGACTTAATTCATGGTGGAAAAAAAAAACACAGAAGCAAGAGTCGATTACTACGAACGTCTCCTTACTGTAGCAAAACGCAAATTTAAGGTGGCTCGATAGGGTTTTTTCAGGATCAACACCTCCCAAGTTAGAGCATGAACTAAGTCGCTAGTAACAAAGATTTGGAAAAATTACCCAGGGGTAAGAGCCTAGAAATGCGTTAATCTTGATCCATGTTATTGCCAATTGACAACTGAGGTGACATATCACCCCTCCCAAACATCACCCAGGTGGTGACACTAGTATAGATGGACAGCTGTTAGCCTGCAGGCATGCTCGCTTGTAAAATATTCCAGCCCGAAATTGCGCAAATGAGTAGACAGCTGTTTATGGCTAGAAATCAAATTTCCATTATCACCATTCAAAAAACTTGCCTAAAGACAGAACCGTTGAAATTTGGCATACAAACTTAAATACTGTTGTTAGAGTGTTCTACTTACCTGATCTCTTGTCGTTAAAAAAAGGAAAACGAAGCTTGTTCCCTGTAAAAGAATTTGATTGCCGCATGATGAGCAAAATAGCACGCCGGGCAATTTTCTTTCAAAACGGATGACTAAGGCCCCGTCCAAACTAATGCGTTTTCGTTTGAAAACTGAACACACTTCGATGCGTTTACGCCTTCCGTCCACACTAATACGCTGAGCGTTTTCATCGAAAACGCATCGATTTGAAAACGCTCTTGAAAGTGGATCAAAACGAAAACGCATACGCATCGTATTAGAGTGGAAGGTCGAAAACGCGTCAAAATGAAAACGAAGACCGAAAATATCGCAGGCGCGTGTGTTTATAGCACGCGCATAGAGTCCAACTTACGTCACAATATAATTCTATCGTTTTCCCAATCTCGTTCTCAATTGCTTCTATCCTTTTGGTCAGCACCAAGGATCACTAACCATTTCCGCTGGATAAGTGTAACTCAGGCTCTGGGGACGGGATTGTCGTTTTCGAACGTTTTTGTGTGGACAGTCGAAAACGCATCAGAACCGACTAGTGTGCACGCGAATCGATCGATGCGTTTTCGTTGACAACGAAAACGCATACTTTCGAAACGCATTAGTGTAGACAGGACCGAAATTTGATCCTTTAGGGCAAAACAATATAAAAGAATCAAACGTACTTGAGACAAGTGTTTTACTTACATTTCTCATCTTCTGCATAAGGTAAGCGAGGCAGGCTCTCTGTAAAAAAGTAGCAAAAAGGACTAAGTGACGAGGTAAAAACTAGCTGCTTTGGAGACTTTTTGGATAGAGCAATTATAATATTCCAAACGTAAAGGCTTACTGATATATTTTAAATCAAGGGTGCGCGTGTACCAAAAAAATGGTCTCGGTCACGTGATAAATAAGTGCCAAATTCCATTTCAATTTGATCTGTTTTGCCTTTGCTATCGCCAAAGAGCTTCTTTTTTATACGAAGACTTTGGTCCCGGCCTACATTTAACTACTTGAGAAATTAAAATTCGCAAATGCTGAAAATGTCCCTTTTGTGCCTGATTAGTTATTTACGGTCCACGGTATGACCTCTTTTGCTCCATATAACGGAATCCAAGACAGTCTTGGATTCTGGATTCCACGCCGTGGATTCCGGATTCAGGGTACTGGATTCCGGACTTTTTCAGTCATACTTGGATTCCCGGATCTCAATCGTTAGTAGGATTCCGCTGTATTCCGGATTCCAAAGCCCAAGATTCCGGATTCCTCACATGGGGCGACCTCTTGTTTGACAACAAATTGCATGGGGAACTTTACCTCGAGTGCGAAGCAGAAACTGCTCAAGACGTTCCCCTGGCAAAGGTTCTGTTGAAGGAAGCGTACAGTTTAACTATTGAGCTTATCAGGGACAAAACGCTCCAACAAAACAATAAATTCAACCTTATCTAGGCTGAACAATAGACCTTAGACCCTACTATTACTGTGTCTTAAGAGATCTTTGGGTTCACAAATAAAAATAAGTTACCAGACAGCACGAACGAAACTAGCGTTCTCCTGTGCTTCGCACAGGCGCTGCAGACTAGTTGTTCAGGCTAACGCTATCCACCAATTTAAAGACGCTAAAAAGATATTAGTGTCGTTAGCCTTTTTTGTTTGGCTGCTTTTAATCTACCATTTCCGTTAAGGATGTGCGACCCTTCAATGTTTTCTTTTGTAGGAAGATGGAGGCGAAGGGCTTAGAGAAAAAGAAATTGCGTTCAGAAATTTTAAATTACGCCTTGGAAGCTTCTGAATTTGGTAGGCTGTTTAAATTACGTTTTAGAGGAGTTTCAAATCAAGCACGTAGGATAAAAACCATGAAATCTTTTAATGGGCTTACCAAATGGATAAATTGAGTTGATAACTAAAACCGTATAGTTGATCTCTTCATAATCACTTTAAAGACGAACTAAAACATCTCCATTATTTGAACCCTAGTATTTTTCTTAAGGTCTCGGTAAATGAAAATTTTAGTACATTGCTCGATTTTGTTTTTTTTGGATTTTTGGCATGAGTGGGTCCTAAATTTTATTTTGACAGAAAAAGAAAACCAGAAAGTGCTTTTTAACCCTTCTAAAATGAGCCTTTTCTGAGCTAACCAGCCAAGCGTGGACCCCGCGCTAAATCTTTAGAGCTGATTTTCTCTCACTCTATTTTAGACGCAAAAATCAAAATTCTCCGACCTCCAGTCGGGACAGGTTTTAAGCTATCGCTTTGAAACTTTCAGATATGATGGATAATGATATAGACTCAAAAAGGGTGTGAGGAATTTTCCGATTTCCCTTCGTAACTCATTTTATGTCAGTTTCTTTGCGTAAATCGCACTCGAGATTCGACTTTTTAGTTTGAAATGCAATAATTCCGCTGATACGAGACATATGCAGATTTCCTCACACCCTTTTTTAGGTCTTTTATATGTCAATCAGACGCATTAAAAAGGAAGTGAATATTTAACAACGCGAAAGGGCTGGAGATTCAGCAGTAACCTCGATACCTCTGAGTTCGAGAGCAAAAAACTTAAGCGCCTTTTTGAAATTCGATGAAATAAAATCTTTTATAAGGTAATTTAGTCTTTTAGCTTTAACTTGATATATAACTTGCCTTTTTAGCGAAAATACTCGCGCGACTAGAATTTTTTTCTGTGGGCTCCTCGTTTTCCTTTACCGAGACCTTAAAGCTGGTTGCTCAAAAAAACGTCAGGACTATATTTTTCTTTTTTTTCCCTCTTTTTTTAGGTTTAGGTGTTTTCTTTTTCTCTTTTTCTTTGGGAGAGGTGGTAGGGGTGGCAGTGTCAGATGTTTTGCCCGACATCCAACATTCGATGTTATCTGCAAAATTTGATGAATTCACCACGCAATGGCATTCATGACCTTTGTTTAAGACGATGTGCCATTAGTTTTAACATATTGGTTGAGGTTTCACTAGAGAGAGTTTACAATGGTAATATCATAGTAAACATTTTCCAGTTTACAATGGTAAAGTTCACTCTGGTTAATTTCCATGGCTACGGCGGAAAGAACAAAGATGACCCATCACCGATAACCATCGGGTCTACCAAAAAAATAGGTGGGTATATCTTTAGTTTATCTAAAACTTTGTTTTGTTTGTCCCAGCCAAAAAAACGCATGGAAAGTTTCAAACACGTTTCTAAGAGGACCTATCGGAATTACTACAGTAAAGAAGATTTACCGTAATTTACCATAGTAAAGCCCTTTTTTCGGTAGTTAAGTCTTTAGTGTGAAAGTGTAACACTGAACAACCCTATGGATGGAACGATCGACGTATGGAAAGTCTTCCATTGCAAAAGATATTCACCGGATTAAATACTTCTTCATAAACAGGACCACATGAAGAGAATTTCTAGCATTTAATATAGCGTGATACTCGGTTTGTTTTTTTATATTTTCAATCCCGATCTCTTTTTTTTCAGTGACCATTATGAGGCTAGAGAAACGATTGACATAACTTTCTCGTAGATGTTTCCCGTGAGCTGTCTCCGTGAATGGATATGTTGATAATGCTTAACGAATAATCGGAAGTTTATGATAAACGTCAAGATAAGCTTAATGAAATAACAAGTACCGTATTTAGAATATAAAAGAGCCATTGATATTAAGGAATTTATTTTTATCTGCAGCTTTGAAAAATTCCTTTGCTCTCAAGTCACAACTCAACACATGAAAACGCAGTCTTCTGTTTGCAGTAAATTACAATAATAACCATCTTTCGGGAAAAAAGATAATTGGACTTGATAATGTCCAAAAAAGAAAACGATCGTGGTTAGCAACAAATACAGTTTAGACTACGTATACTGGCAACTATTAATTGTGGAAGAAAGAAGCAATTTCAAAACCAATATTTTACGTCATGGAATTCAACCACTATTCGATGCCCACTGTTTCATTTCGATTAGTTAATGATATTATAACAGGTCTGCCATAAAACCCACAAATTTTGGTTTACTCGCAATGTTCACGATCTTTTTACCACCTTACTATGCATACCATTACATTGAGGTTGGAGTGATAAGGCACCTATGTCTGCATAGACGACTGAATGTTGACTTGTCTTATTTGCCCAAGTGTACAGAATTTTTGTTAATTCATGGATTTTAAAAATTAAGAACCTCTTTCAAATTTTAAGCTAAACAGGTTCTTGTATAGAGGAAATACAGGGGCACCCAACGAGAGTATAGTTCAAAACCACATAAACATAGCATTGTTGAACGTACTTTAGTATTTAAACGGTAGATAACGGCTTATTTTTATCCCCTAAAAATTTTTCATCTGTTCGGATTTCCTAGCTGAAAGTATAGTGATCAGAAAATTATGGGGATCAAAACTTACCTTTTCGAAAATTTTAGCCAGAAAAAAGGCTCCCGAAAATTCTAGGTGACCTTTTTAGGGTAAAAATCTGTTAAAAATGGGCAATTATACGATTTTTTTGAAGTTCGAAAATCCTAGGAGAGGCAGGCAAGCAAGAAATTTGTCAGAAAATCATTGATCCGAAAATTCTAGACCTCAAATCGTCTTCCGAACAGATAATTTTCCGAAAATTGTCGTTGGGTGCCCCTGGAGATATAACTCGCAAATTTTAGACTAAGAGATTCTTAAAAACCAGGTTCTTACTCCCGGGTAGGCTCCTGTTCACGAGCTATCGCCGCTCCCGAGTCTTTACTATACTCAAACAATACTATCTGTCACTTATTTTTCGCTTTTGAAGAAGACAGTGTAAATGCCAATTTTTTAATGAGATGAAAGCGCTAAATGTGTTTCTATTTTCCAATACTAAAGAACACATGTTACTTACTGTCGGAATAGAATGTTCGTTTGAGATACAGAGCATCACTCGGAAGTATGGCCACGGTTACGGCAATGAGCAAAAAAAACAGAGCTTTAGCTGCCATCTTCTCCTTAGTACGGTCTGTAGGTCTTTCGCGGGAGTTACACGCTCGATGATGGATACCGATAACTGAACGCCAAGCCCCAAACGACGTCTTAATTTTATCCTCTCTCAGAACAATGAGTGCTCTCACCTGCTGAGAACCCACGTTAAGTGGTTTTGGATTCTTTTTCACGAGTTGCATCTTTTTTTTTCCCTATTCAGTTACATATCCCGAGGGGGTACTCAACAAAGTTTAGGGGGAGGGTCCCCCCCGAAGTCTTACGCCTTATCCGTTTATATACCATTTTTGACGTGATATCAAGCATGAGACGAAGTGTTTCATCACCAGATGAAGAGAGAAGAGAAGAGAAGAGAAGAGAGAAGAAGAATTGAAAATACGACGCGCAGCGGAGTATTTCATTTTTATTGAGAAACACTACCCCTTTCACATACCTAAAATGACAGATTTCCCTACTCTTTCATATACTTCAACTGGTGAAATCCCTTTTCTTTCATTTACCTAAAGCCTAAAACAGGTATAGGTCTTTATAGAAAGTACCCCCCGGGGTAGATATATCTGCATCTGCTAATGCTATTTGTGGTCTGCCCTACTTACGGGGTCAAATGAACTTCCAACTGTGTTAAACGAATGGAATTGCTTAGTGGTTCAAAGAAACTTCTGTTCCTTTTCATTTCGAGGTAAGATTCGCAATTTGCAGTAGATTGCTCTATTTACTGTATACAGAATCTGTCCTGGTTTGCAGTAAAACATTTAGGACCAAAAATCCTCATTTTGTACGCTTTTCGAACCCCAGGTGTCAGACTGTGTGATATATCAGTTGCCGTACAGAAGAATGGTATCCATGGAAACCAGAAACTGAAGATTACTATACAGAATCCTGCTACACAGTGCAGTGGCGATGGAAACCAGATGGGGGACGCCATGTAAATCATACCCTTAAATCTTACGAGGAAAGGCGGTGGTATTCCAGTATTTTTCTTGAAGACAAGCTGTATTACCAACGTTAACAATTATTTCTTTTAGGTTAATAGCAATAATTTAGCTGATTTAATTTTAATTTAATTTTAGCTGATTTTAATTTTACGTAATTGAACAAGGGTGTATATCCAGGATCGAATCTCAAGAAGGGGCTGTCCCTTTACAAGGAAAAAGTTACTAACAGGGGAAGTGTCACTTTTGTCTATAGGAATTGCCATTGACATTTTTAGCACAAAGGAATTCGAAATGTCAGTTGATCGGTGATGTAGTTCAGGAGCGTGAACCTCAGCACAAGTGATGATTGTGCGAATAGCAGCATTTAATACAAGGACGCCTTCTCCACAAAATGGAGATTGTTAGAGTAGGGAAAAGTGGTCAACAAATGTTCTGTACACTTGGGCAAATAAGAGATAAGTGAAACAGTCAGTATTATAGTATCCAGACATAGGTCATGACAGGTGCCTTATCACTCCAACCTCAATGTAATGGTATGCAGATTTTATATGAAGGAATATTATTAAGCTGAAAACCACTAAATAGTCTTAAACACAGCATATTTTTTGTTCTTCAGAAAATACAACCTATTTAAGAACCTCAGTAAATAGCCTAAATTTGTGCTTATTACCATATGTAAACTTGTTTAGGATAACTTAGGAAAATGCGAGTTAGAACCATTTACCGCATTGCGAGCAAAACAAAATTTTGGGTTTTTATGGTAGGCCTGTCATAATATCATTAATTAATACTCTTGCCACTAATTGAAACGAAACAGTAGGCAACGAATAGTGGTTGAATTTCATGACCTGGTGACGTAAAATATTATCTTTGTAATTTTTCCTTTTTTTCCAGAATTAATGGTTGCCAATGGTCTATTTGTTACTAACTCGCGATCTTTCTCTTTTTTGGACTGTGTCAATGAGTCCAATTTTTTTCCCGAAAGATGGTTATTCACTAGCCTCACTAGGGAGAGTGCAAATGTAGTGTATTGTAGTCTAATTAGGCCAATTTTAGAATACTGTGTAAGTGTGTGGGGCTGTTGCGGGAAAGGTCGTAAACAAGACCTTGAAGCCCTCCAAAACCGGGCTGCTAGGATAGTGGCTTGTACTGTGCGCAGCAAGCAGGCATTGGATGTTCTGAAATGGCCCACCTTGGAGGAGCGCCGACGTCAATCTGTTTTTAAACTCGTTAAGAAATGCCTGCAAGGTCAATGTCCCCAGTATTTTAAACAATATTTTAAACGTAATAATACAATCCATGCGCGCGCTACTAGACAAAGCAACCTCTTACATCCACCTGCTGTTAGAACTGAAATTGCAAAAAGATCCTTCCATTATCATGGTTGCACTCTTTTTAACGAATTATCTTAATGATATTTCGTGTTTTACATCTTTTAATTTTTAATTGAAAATAGCTTTCTATTTATATTATGACCTGTACTATTGTAATGTTTATATGTTTAGTGTGGTTTTTGTGCGTTGTTGCTTAGGTCTCCCATTGATAACAGACAGCTTTTTGCGTCTGAAGGGGCTACCCTGAGCGGTATAAATTAATAAAGGTTCTTCTTCTTCTCCTTCTTCAGGGACCGCGGAGACCATTTTAAGGTGGTGGGACTAAAAAATCTGGCCAGTACAAAGAAGCATTAAGTTCAGTGTTTCGCCATTTATCTTGCATTTGCGCGCCATCTTATTTACAACCTCAGCAAATATAACATAAACGTCGTCACTTGTTATAGTGTCCAGTATAGCCAATATGTTAAATAAACCTTCCTAAGATTGCTACTTTTTGAAGTTGTCCGCAATGCTGAAGTTTCTCTTGAGGTTTTCATTGCGGGAAACAAACTCCTGTGCGACGTCAGCTATAAAGACACTGTCTGTTCTCCGCTTGTGACCATTCCGGCAACACTGCTAAGTTGCTAAACCTTTCGTCACGCATCGTGGATCGAAGCGACGTCTTCAGACGCCATGCAGATGAGAGTGAACGCTCGCCAGCAGCACTGGTAACAGGATTTACAGCAAGCAGCTTACAGATAGTTTGGACTTCCTGAATTAGCCTCTTTTCTGGTTCTGGAAACTTTAACACCGCCAACAGGATTTCGTTAAAACATGATATCTTCTCCTCCTTTAACATAACTTCCAAAATACTTAGTTGCTCAGGTAGCGCCCCTGTATCAACATCTTGGCTGTATGACGCATCACGAAACTGAACTCTGCCTCGTCGTCACCAATATGAGCTTTAACCAAGAGGGTCTCCATCTGGGCGTAGGAGCTGAAGCTTTCCTGATTAACGCGGTGATATATAGCCCGACGATAAGATGAATACCCTCATAATAGACCCCTGTAAAGTGATCTTTGGCAGTTTGGGGATAGCTTGGTGCACCAGCACCAACCTCCAGTCTGACCAAAGTGCGTCGTTTTCTTGGAAGCGTTGGTTCGCTAAGCAGGCCTTCACTCTTGCAGGCAACATCAGCATAGAAATGGTCCAAGCTTTCATCAGTGCGAAATTTTGTCAGCGTCTTCTTTGTTAGTTTTGGCAGGCGTTGTCCAATGACAGCAGCCATCTTAGTACCCTGAAAATCCTTAGATAGATTATCGGTGTGGGAATAAAGGTGCTCTCCAAGATGAAAAGCAAAGAAAAAGTCAAATCGCTCCTTCCATTTTGGGCCTTACATCTTATTATCCTTGCAAGCAAATCGGGTTGTAATCGTTCGGACATACAAACACCCAACTCACCCATAGGGCAAAGTCCAATAATTCCACGGGAATTTTTTCCATGTCAACTGGAGCCCTAGAAAATAAATCCCAGCAATAAAAGTGGTTATAGCCCTACCAGCCCCTCCCCCTCCGCGGTCCCTGTTCTTTACTGCAAACGGCCAGAAGACTACGTTTTCATGTGTTACGTTGTGACTTAAGAACAGAGGCATTTTCCAAAGCTGCTAAAATAAATTCCGTAACATCAATGGCTCTTTTATATTCTAAATACGGTACTTGTTATTTCATTTTAAAGCTTATCTTGACGTTTATCATAAACTGCCGAATATTCGTGACGCAGTATCAACATACATGTATTCATTTACAGAAACAGCTAAAAGAAAGCTAGCTCAATCTATTCTCTAGCCTCATAATAGTCACTAAAAAAAGGGATTTAAAAACAAACCCAATATTCCTGATTATCGTGAAGTATTTAATCAGGTGAATATGTATAGCAATAGAAGCATTTGGAGGGGCGTGGAGCCAGCTTTTCAACCAGTTGTACTGTTGTAGGCCTGGCTGACTTTCATTTCCACATATCCTGAAAACGCACCGACCTCACTAACACTCTGAGCTCTTAAGCTTTTTAGCTCACCAACAACGCATAATTTATCACAAGCGGTAGAGTTATCAAACCAAAATATGTAGGCCCGGGCCTACAGGTTTATGGGTTGGAGACGCCCCTGCTTCGGATACCTCAACCGTTCCATCAAAAGGGTTGTTCAGCTTACACTTTCACAATAGAAATTTTACTACAGAAAAAGGGCTTTACTATGGTCTATTTCGTAACATCTTCTTTAACGTAGTAAACCTGGTAGGTCCTCTTGAGAACGTATTTGAAACTTTCCATGCGTTTTTCCGTTTGGCGGGACAACAAAACAAACAAAGTTAAGATAAACTAGAGATATACCCACCTATTTTTTTGGTAAACGACATGGTTTAATCGGTGATGGGTCATCTTTGTTCTTTCTGCCGTAGTCACGGAAATCAGTTAACCAGAGTGAAGTTTACCATTGTAAACTGGAAAATGCCGTTCACACACTTAATAAACTTTCTCTAGAGTGACCTCAACCAACAAAACGTTACAACTAATAGCATATCATCTTGAATAAAGGCCATGCCATTGCGTGGCGAACTCAACAAATTTTGCAGATAAAATCGGATGGGTGTTGGTAAAACATATAAATATGCTAGCCCACCTCCCTCCCTCCCTCCCCCGCTTCCAAGAGAAAAAGAAAACGCTTAAACCCAAAAAAGAGGGAAGACAAGAAAAAAAATCTTGACGTTTTTTGAGTAATCAGCATTAAGGAATTAAAAATACCAGAGTTCAAATCCTGGAGATGTTTTCGTACATCTTTTACCTTCTTTAAAGTGATTATGAAGAAAGCAAACTCGGTTTTAGTTATCAACTCAACTTATCCAATTGCTAAGCTCCCGGTTGACTCGGTTCTCCCTGTTCTCCCAGTTCTTCTGGTTGTCCCGGTTTTCCCGCCTGTCCCTCTCAGCTGGCCTGGTTGCCTCGGTTTTCCCAGCTGTCCCAGTTGTCCTAGCTGTGCTGGTTCTCCCAGTTGTCCTGGTTGTCCCAGTTGAACTGGATGTCCCGGTTATCCTGGCTGTCCCGGATGTCCTGGTTGTCCAAGAATTATATACCCTGTTAAGGACAGTCTTGTGCGGAATTACATCCTTAGTTGATGACAGTCTCGCGCGGAATTGTATACCCCGTTTAGGACAGTCTGGTGAGGAATTATATACCTCGTTTACCAGTCTCGCGCGGAATTATATACCCTGTTTACGACAGTCTCGCGCGGAATTATATACCCTGTTAGGACAGGGAAGACAAAAAATATACCCCTTCCAGCGGCACATCCCCGTAAAGGCCATATAAGGGAGAACCCCCCCCCTGCCCCCCCCCCCCTGGGCACTGGATGTTTCCTGAAACCTGTAAAGAAAGAGGCGTAAATCAGAAGCCCCACAAAATCCCTAACCCCTCTTATAAGCACCCCTCTCCCCTGCTGCAAAAAATATCATTTCAATTAATTTTTTCCCCTTGCAAGCCCTTTCAAGTCCTCTTACTGAATGAAATAACAGATTTGAATTCCCTAGCCTTTTATATACTTCGACCAGTGAAATCCCTTCCCTTTCACTACACCAAAAGCCTGAAAAAGGTACACCTTTCAGATGAAGCCTCCCTGTATATCCCATGATAGGGAGTACCCCCAATCAATATACACTGTATGGCTACTGGAACAGTCTTTTGATAGAAAGACTGGAGTCATGGTGATAGCTGGCAAAAATATTATTATGAATGACAGAATAATGTAATGATATAATATACAGTTTAAAAGCTATAATCGTAGTTTAATCTACAGTTTATACTTTACAAGAATCCATGTACCTTAAATACTAAGTCAGAGTACTATTTCTGCCGAGAGTTGTTTCAAAGTGATTTTCACGGTCAATATGAAGGTTCTGTTCCCTGGATACCAAAGGTCTTTTTCTTGCATGTCTAGAACAGGAAATTGTTCATGAAAAGCCTCTGGCACCCAGGGTAAAGGTTCTCATAACAAAAACAAGAGATGTGAATTTGTATCCTGCAGACATTAGCATTAACACTAGTTAACTTGTATTTTGTTCGTCATGCAACTCAGTCATCCCCTGCATCAACCTCCATTACCAAATGTGGCTTCTCAGCTGCCAGTAATGCTTCGCTGTCAAAGTCTCCAATGTCGTTGCGATAGACCAATGGAACATCTGTAATTGGATCCAGGAGAGAAAAGTCCAAGTCATCATAGTTGCGATTTGTGAGTTCAACTGTCCAGAAAGGCTTTTTTAGTGTAATGGTATTTCGGCTCCTACGATGCCGATAAAGGAGAAAGCCAATGATACAGAGGCAAACAGCTCCAAAAGTGCTGCACACAGCTACTATGATTTTTTCCTTTAATGAAAATCCTGCAACCAACAAGTTTTGTTCAGTATCCAGATTATAGTACATGTATGTGGTAAACTAATACTCATGCCTTATCTATGTACAGTCGAACCTCCATGTGCAACCAAGTCTCATAAGCAACCACCTCCCATGAGCGAACACCTGTTCAAAATACCAAAACTTTCCCAGTCAAAGCCTTACAGTTAGAATCTCTAGTAAACGACCACCTCCTGTAACCGACCGCGACCACTTTTTGGGCCTGAAAGTTTAATGATTTTCCATTGTTTTTAACCTCTTGTAAGTGACCACTTGATGCGTTCTCTGATCTCTATGTTTGCTGTGTACACTATGCTACTTAGAATATATGAATAACTTTAGTAACAACATGGAACTACACAGGATAACTTACAAATTGCATGCAATAAATTTTCTTCCATAAAGTAGATGTGCCCAGACCTCTTCTTGCTAGAGGCCCCCTGTGGTTCGATTCTTATACGCGACCACTCAGTCTTTGCATTTGGGGTGGTCGCTTACGGGAGGTTCGACTGTATTCACATAAAACCACCCTGTAAGCAGAACCTCCTTTTGTCCTTGTCAGAAAAGGAGACTCTGCCTGAAACACATCAGTCCTGAATGTCTGGACCAGTCATCTTGTTTTCTCTCATCAAACTGGTTTCCTGAGTGCAAGCATCCATTTTTTGATAAACGAATGGTCATGAGCTGAGCCTGCTCTACCAAGCACACAGCTGTTAAGTCTTAGCTCAAAAGCTGTATCCAATCAAATGGCAGGAGCGTAGCCAGCCCATAGGGCCCGTGCCTGCAAATTTTTGGTTTGATCACTCTACTGGTTGTAATAAATTTTGCACTGTTAGGGTGAGCCTAAAAGCTTAGAGTGTTGGTGAGGACAGTGCATACTAGTCATGCATACAATTTTCAGGATATGTGGAAATGAAAGTTGGCCAGGCTTGCAACTAGTCGAAAAGCTGGCTATGCATCTCAACAGAGATCTTACTCAATTCATATGCAGAGTGTTTCTCGAGTCACTAAAATCGAGCAAGTCAAAGAAAGGCTCTGCTAGAAGGGTAACAACAAAAACCAATAATCATAATTTGAAGCAATTTCAAACCACAAAGTTACAGTAGGTCTACACAGCTGTATTTTTTACCCTTTCACACATAACAGGGGCCAGACGAAAAATTCACGAAATATCTTTTTGCTAATTGCCAAAAAAATAAAACAGTGTGATGCAAAAGATCCACCAGTTAAGAAGTTTCATTTTTTAGTGTTGCAGTATGTAATCTTATTATCATACACAACAAGCAAAATATAATACAAATAATAATTATTAGTAAAATCCAACTGTGGTCTATTATCAATGCTGTGTTCGGATTGGTTGAACTACTACTAGGATTTATCTTATAGTCCACTAGTAGCGAAACTAGCCGGCTTTGAAAACCAAAACAATGGCAGCTGAATTGCATTTTGCTAGCTAAAGTTGTTTTGTCTCCATATTTTGACCAACTAGTTGGATTTTACTAAAACAATTATTTCTCTCGCCTTCATGGCCTATGAGTCAATAGCCCATTCGGCTTTTGGCCTCATGGGCTATTGAGTCCGAGCCCATTTGGGCTAGAGGAATAATTGTTAATCAGTATTACGGCAGTAAAAACCATATATTCCCTAAATTAAAGGGGATAAAATAGTGATTTTTACTGCAGTAATGCTAATTGACACATTTTCTAGACTGATGTCCAGAATTAGTTAAGAGAATTTGATAAAAAAAGATCAAAGCATTGTCCCTTTGGCGAATATTATTATTCTAAAATAAGGTAGATGAATTTTTATTAGGCCATCCCCTTTTTTTCTTCATTTAGCCTTGTCTGACCAACCCAAATATTTGGCATTTTAAAAAAAAAGTAATGACTTGTAACAGCATTTCACAGCATAGAAGTCTTGGAAGTATATATTTTTTGTTATGTTCTACTTTTACTATGACATCGAACATCACATTTTCCGCCATATTGATTTTATGTCTTGTTGTTTCCAGGTTCCATGGCAATGATGCAAGGGCACTGGGTCTCTCATTCCCAAACTTCTTAAAATATTTGAGTTTTTGATTATTTTCTTTCTCATCTGACCAAATGCCCCCTAAATCAGGGAATGCATTCAACACTAAATGCAAAAAAAGGGGACGCCCTTGTTACTAACAATGAAATTGATTAACAACCTGAGTTTGTCTTGGTTTCCACTTTGCCATTCTCTTTAGCACAATCGTTTGTACCCTGACTCTTCTGACAATCCTGACAATGCCATACTGAATCATTAGACTGGCAAACAAAACAACTCTCTTCCATGTATTCACAGTTACTATTTGATTTGCGAGAATCAAAGCTTCCATTGCAAAGACAGCTGTCACATGATACATGAGGCCTTGATGTCTGGTTACTTTCAAATCCTCTAGAACATGTTCTGCATGGCAAGCTATCAAGTAAATGCTCTTTACATCTGATGCATGAAATAGTTCCATTAGACAACACTTTACATGCTGCTGATGACAGATTTCTTAGGCACCAGGTACAGTGGAAAAGTAATTTTTCTGTCAAATCAACTAAAAAGGGAAAAATGCAATGCTTCACTTATCTTTCAAAACCAACACTAGTCTTTAATTTGAAAAATAACTTGCTACTAAAATGTACATGTACGAGCCTATGTCACAGACAGAAATAAACTTCTGGTTAAGTTCATTTGTGAGACAGTGCCAAAATTCTTGTTGTTGGTTCCAACCTGTGCACCAGGATTTGAGTACCCGCCATGATTTGACCTGTTAAAAAAAGCCAATGTTGTAAATTTGTCAATCTGGGTTGAAGGGAAATTTGAAATGCTTTTCTGGTAATTTGTTAAGTCTCTTTGGAGCTGAGAAAAATGATATCAGCACTGCCTCACAGAGGTTTCTAACAGGGATAAAATTATGTCTGTGACCCACAGGCTAAGATGTACTTAACTAGTATATAATGGCTGTCATAAAGAGCCGGGGGCTGGGATTTCCCCCGGCTACTATGAACGTCGCCCCTGGCTACTTTCATAGAAAAATAGAACCAAAAGAAATCCCTAGCTGTTTGATTCCCCACATACTTGTTGTATTTACCCAGCAACTTGAAATCTTAGTGACAGCCCTGTATATGCATAACTGAGGAAGGAATATAGCAAGTCTTTAATGCTAGAATGTTGCGATTTGAACTCAAGTGAACTTCGCACAGAAGCTGAATTAAAGAAAGGGATAGCCTCTGCTACTGATGATGTTGATTCTTATACTGAAACAGTATCCTAGCCAGTACTGGCGGTTATGTCACAGATAATGCGGGTCTCCCTGTGGACAAGATACATGTAGGCCTCTCTTGCCTGAGCGGGTTGCCTATCAGAACTCTGGATTTGTCTCTTCTTGCCTGCTGCGGAGCCAACCACATGAAAATATGTGTTTCTCTGTCACACAATAATAAGTTTAGTGTGTAAATTATTGTCAGAAATTACATTCCCTGAATCTGAAAAGGCCGAATGTATTAAAACACCAGACCTGAAAACTGATATGGATTTAATGGCTAGGTCTCAAAGCGTATTAATGGTAAACTATGCGAATATTTTTATCTCATTATACCCGCTAATTTCTCCCCTCAACTCCAATATATCGGTGCTCAAGTTTTTTATATGTCCGGGCAAAACGTTTGACTCGTATTTTACTAGATTTCATAAAGCGTCTGTTGAGGCTTAAACTCATCGATCGACAGTGGAAGCAAAGAGTTTTTCAGTAAATCGGGATTAACAAGGAACTTGATCGACTCAAGATTTCAATATTGTGACGAGAGCGTGCACATCAAGTGCAATTCATGCAAGAAATACCAATTGAAGTATTCAGCTTAAGATTATAACTGAACCAAACCATTAAATGTAATAACAACAAGAACATCTTACCTCTGGAACTGTCGTCCTGTGCTTGTATTACCGCATAAAGAATCGCCAGTAAAATCAACCGAACATCTACCTCCATCTCCATCCGTTGGTGAACAATCAGAAATTGTGGAAGCTATAGTTATCTGCAAATCCTGGCTAATCGGATCTCTCACTTAGATGTTCTAAGACTTTGCACTTGGTATTCGAGCGTATCGAATTCTTACACGCTTATCATAAATTTAAACTGCAAGTTAAGAGTTTATCACACTACTTCCCTTTGAAAGTGCGTTTCGGAAAGCTAACCAATCTCAAAAAAAATTTCCCATGCCCTTGAAAAATAAAATAATTTCCGAACTTTGCTGCCGCTCGCTCTTTGGTGCTGAGGGGAAGCTGGCACGGGCGTACCGAATCCCGAGGGTGGCTGGGAGGGGAAGATAAAGGCAGCAGCCCTCTCCTGCGGCTGGCTTGTAAATTTTAAAAAGTACTAGCCTACGAACGGCAGACGTTTCTTCTTGCTATGGTGACATCTTTACCTTTCTGCACCGCAGGATTTTGTATCGACTGCTCGTGTGGCCAACCTCGTTGTCAGGGTAGGAGAGAACCCTGGGAACGAGGTTGCCGTGTGGCAGGAAATTTTTGCGATTTTTTCAGCGATCCGCAAAAATAATATACCCTGGCTCCAGAGGTCCGTTCTCAAAATACCTAAGATGAAATAAACCTGTATCGATATGAAAAAAAATATCCTCTGGAACCCAGGTTACAAAAATTAGTTCCCGCAAATACTGAAAATTACCGCTAACATTTTCCCCGTAAAACACAAAAAATCGCCAATCCGCAAAAATAAACTCCCGCAAAAATTTCGTACCACACGGCATGTGGGGGTGGGAGGAGGGAATTTGATCATGCCTTTTGGAAGGTTTATACACGTACGTGCTTGTGGGGGAGGGGGAAAGGGACTTCTATTAGTTCCAACCTCGTCTTTAGTCAGTTACCTCTAGTTCTATAAAAAGATTGCCGTGAGAAATAGGTTCAGCCAGGAGAAAAGCGTGGGCTCATCAGCCTAGTTGGTAGGCTTTGATAGATTGTGCTAGCATAATTTTTGTCATAATTTGTCATTAAAAGCATAATTTTTATCTATTATAGGGGTTTTCACGATACGTCACCAAAATTCAAACTATTAAAGAAACTACCGATTCCTCTGAGTTTCTACTTTCATAAGGCATTACAGCACCTAAAAACTTTTATTTACGTAAATTTTCGTTTTCAAAGGGTTTTTCGTTTTGCGATAGAAGACGCTTGAGTTTCCAGGCTTTTGCGTGACGCGACATTGAAAGCTCGTATGTGGGTTCAATAGACTGCAAAACAGTCCGTATTTTCGCGTATTCAAGTACGCAGTACACAGTCAAACAAAAAGTCTGGAACGAGGCTGAAAACAGAGAGCTACACTGGGGAGAGACACCACGCTTTACCGATTTCATTACTGATTTTGAGAAAAAACCTGACTGTTTTGCAGTCTAGTGGGTTAAAAATATTACTGATTTTTTGAGATTTTGCTATCTAAAAATTCCTTGTCTTAGAATAAATATTACTTTAACCTTTATAAGTTCCTCATGCGATGAATTCACGCATTATTAAGTAGGAAAACCCAAACACAGACGTTCCAGTGTTGGTTTCTGGCGGCCAAACTTGTGCCCTGAAAAAGGCACCAATATGGCGTCTGCGTAGAAAGCCTTAAAAATTTAGGTGAAATGTTTTCCCCAATATCTCGCACAGACCTGACTCTTGGCGAAGCTTTTTGTACATTTTCTTTCTTTCATTTCCTAGATTCTGGACTTTCCGTATTGACTGGTTTGAATTTTTATTTTTGATGGCGTGACAGTGAAAGCTCAGAATTTCCCGAAAATGCAGTGCTAACATAACTTCCACTTTTGGCTTGTTTTGAAACACAAACTTATCATTTATTGATCATGCAACCAATTTCAGTTTTTGCCCAAGATAAGAGTTATGGGCAAATTTACAAAATCATTTTTTTGGCTGCTTACTGTTGCATTCATCGCAACCGGGTCCATCCTCGGAGACCCAGGGGCAGATAATGCGGGCGAGGGAAAGTCTAAACGGGCGTAAAAATATAGCACGAAGAAAAGTAAAGAACGAAGAGAAGAGCCCCTGGGGACAATGTCTTACAGACCAGTTCCAAACGGTCGCCGCCGTCCTGGCTTCTGATTGGTGCCAGAAAAACATAAATCGTGAAAAAACGATTTTCGATGTTTTATATAGCGAACAAACCTTTCTGAACAACAAAAACATCGGTTTCAAAAACCCACACAATTGGTATTTTTGCAAAGGGGTTAAAAATTTGAAATTTTCTGAACGTTTCGTTTTATGCAAAATACACCCAGAAAAAGTATTTGGTGACGTTCTTGTTAGAAAACAAGCCTTTCTAGACAATATAAACATGGATTTACAAAGAAGGCAAAATTGGCTTTTTTGCAAAGGGGATAGTCCATGATTTTGGTCAAAAAGTTGGAGTTTGTTCATCTTTTGTGTTTATCAAAAATAGATCGAGAAAAAGTGTTTGCTGACGTTCTAGATAAAAAAAGAAGCCTTTAAAGGCTATGAAAACAACTCTGTACAAAAAACGCAAAATTAGAATTTTTCCAAACGGGTTAGTCCATCGTTTTGATCAAAACTTTGAGATTTCTTCAACTTTAATTTTTATACAAAATAGACCAAGAAAAAGTATCTGGGTACGTTCTAGTTAGAAAAAAGTTTCTATATTCCTTTGTAACCCCCTGTAACCAATTGTCACAATACAAGGGGTTACAGGGGGTTACAAAGAATTGTAGAAACTTTTCTCTAACTAGAATGTTCCCAGTTACTTTTTCTTGGTCTGATCGTTAGATCGTTAGATTGGTAGATAGTTAGATCGTTAGATCGCCACCTCGTTAGATCCCTAGATCGATGGATCGTTAGATCGTTAGATCGCTGGATCGATGGACTGATTAATCGTTAGATCGCTAGATCGTTATATCGCTAAATCGATGGATCGCTACATTGTTAGACCGCTAGATCGTTAGATCGCTAGCTCGAGGAATCGTTAGATCTTTAGATCGCTATATCGTTACATCGCTAGATCGTTGGATTGTTATATCGTTAGATCGCTAGATTGATAGATCGCTAGATCGATGGATCGTTAGATGGTTAGATCGCTAGATCGATGGATCGTTAGATCGTTAGATCGCCACCACGTTTGATCCCTAGATCGATGGATCGTTATATCGCTAGGTCGATGGATCCTTAGATCGTTAGATCGCTGGATCAATAGACTAATTGATCGTTAGATCGTTAGATCGTTAGATCGTTAGATCGCTATATCGTTACATCGCTAGATCGTTGGATCGTTAGATCGCTAGATCGTTCGATCCCTAGATCGTTAGGTCGCCACCTCGTTGGATCCCTAGATCAATGGATAATTAGAACGCAAGGTCGATGGTTCCTTAGATCGCTAGATCTTTAGATCGTTAGATCGCTGGATCGATGGACTCATTGATCGTTAGATCGCTAGATCGATGGATCGTTAGATCGCTATATCGTTAGATCGCTAGATCATTGGATCGCTAGATCGATGGATCGTTAGATCGTTAGATCGCTAGATCGTTAGATCGCCACCTCGTTAGATCCCTAAATCGATGGATCGTTATATCGCTAGGTCGATGGATCCTTAGATCGTTAGATCGCTAGATCATTAGATCGCAAGATCGATGAATCGGTACATCGTTAGATTGCTAGATCGTTAGATTGTTAGATCGCAAGATCGTTATATCGCTAGATCGATGGATCGCTAGATTGTTAGATCGAGGGATCCTTAGATCCTTAGATCCTTAGATCGTTAGATCTTTAGATCGTTAAATCCTTAGATGGATGGATTGATTGATCGTTAGATCGCGAGATCGTTATATCGCTAGATCAATGGATCGCTGGATCGTTAGATCGCTATATCGTTACATCGCTAGATCGATGGATAGTTAGATCGTTTGATTGCTAGATAGTTAGATCGTTAGATTGTTAGATCGTTAGATCGTTAGGTCGTTAGATCGCAAACTCGTTCAGTCCCTACATCGATGGATCGTTGGATCGTTAGATCGCTAGATCGTTAGATCGTTGCATCGATGGACTGATTGATCGTTAGATCGCTAGATCGTTCTATCGCTAGATGGATGGATCGCTAGATTGTTAGATTGCTAGATCGTTAGATCGCTAAATGGTTAGATCTCTAGATCCATGGATCGTTAGATCTTTAGATCGCTATATTGTTACATCGCTAGATCGTTGGATCGCTAGATCGTTAGATCACTAGAATGTTAGATCGCCACCTCGTTAGATCCCTAGATCGATGGATCGTTAGATCGTTAGATCGCTAGGTCGATGGATCCTTAGATCGTTAGATCGATAGATTGATTGATTTTTAGATCGCGAGATCGTTATATCGCTAGATCAATGGGTCGCTAGATTGTTAGATCGTTAGATCGCTAGATCGATTGATTGTTAGATCGTTAGATCGCTAGATCGTTAGATCGCCACATCGTTAGATCCCTAGATCGATGGATCGTTATATCGCTAGGTCGATGGATCCTTATATCCTTAGATCGCTGGATCAATGGACTGATTGATCTTTACATCGCTAAATCGCTATATCGCTAGATCGATGGATCGCTAGATTGTTAGATCGCTAGGTTGTTAGATCGCTAGATCGATGGATCGTTAGATCGTTACATTGCTACATCCTAGCAAGATCGCTAGATCGATGGATCGCTAGATTGTTAGATCGCTTGATCGTTAGATTGCTAGATCGTTAGATCGGTAGATCGATGGATCGTTAGATGTTTAGATCGCTTTATCGTTACATCGCTAGATCATTGGATTGTTAGATCGTTAGATCGCTAGATCGTTCAATCGCTAGATCAATGGACCGTTACATCGTTACATCGCTAGATCGATGGATCGTTAGATCGTTGGATCGCTAGATCGTTAGATCTCCACCTGGTTAGATCCCTAGATGGATGGATCGTTGGATCGTTAGATCGCTAGGTCGATGGATCGTTATATCGCTAGGTCAATGGATCCTTAGATTGTTAGATCGCTGGTTCAATAGACCGATTGATCGTTAGATCGTTAGATCGCTATA